TGGACACTAATAGACTAGAAAAATGTATAAATTCCACAAACTGAACTTGCCAGCTGAAGAAATGTGAAGACAAAACTCTTCTGAATGAAGTGGGGAGAATGTTATCATGCTTATTAAGTAGGGTAATGCAGAATGTTTTGGGGGGTTAGTACCCATTTCTCATATTGAAGAAGCAATATTAATCAAAGCATCTTTGACTCCATATTGTTGTGGCTCAAGCAGAGAAACTAGAAGCAAAATAAAACTAGCAGATGATTGTTCTCAAATGGTAGTTCTGAATTGTTAGAACAGTTTTCATTAAGCATCATGAATATCTAGCTTCCCAAGGTAACCATGGTAAAGGGTTCAACAGCCATAGAAATGTGTAAGTTCTGGGCTGTTTGGAATGGTTTTCTTACCATGCCTTATAGTTGTTCAGCAGAAACCTGGGTGTCACAGTTGAAATAAGTATTTTTATCTACCTTAAGATAAATATTAGGTCTCAGACACTGGGAATAATTTCCTAGTTGTCAATGAAAATATATACACTTTTTTCCTGAGGATTCAGATACAGAAATCTAAACTTTTCATTTTCTGTCTTTTTGTGACAGATCTCAAAAGGAGATAGTGCCTAATACCTGCAAAAGTAGAAATGACTACAGTATTGACCACATTCCAATAATTTTAGGTTGAGCTTACAGGATATTGGGGGGAAATTTCCAAATTGTCTGTCTATCAAAACTAAACTCATACTCAAAACAGGAACTAGTGGAAATGGCAATCCACTTTAGTATTCTTGCCTGGGCAGTCCAATGGACAAAGGAGCCTGGTGGGCTACAGTCCATGAGGTCACAAAGTGTCGGACATGACTTAGTGACTAAACAGCAAAACGGTTGTCTCTGAGAACTTGGTTTATGAATTCTGCCATGGTGATTTACCACAGTAATACTAAACTTTCATATTGTTGCCCTTATGTTGTGGGTGAGTACCTGAGTTGGTGCAGTATCTATATGAGGTGTTTGTGTTTGCAGACACAGTGCGTGTCACACACACGTGTGCACTCACAACAAATTAAGGCTTCTCAGACTCTTTCCTGTCTTATGTTTGTTATCCACCTGTAGCAATTAGAAATGACTCTGGAAAAAAAGAAATGACTCTGTTTTATGATCTAAAGTGCACATGATATTCAAGAAAAAGATTTAATAGCATTTTTTCCTTATTAGGAGTGTTAGAAACTGTATTTTTTTAACCTGGTAATTACAGGTACATTACAGGAGAATTTTGTGTCCCTTATATATTTGCTAGTTTCCGTTTGTACCATCCCTATATTGAGTATAACCTCAACTAGCCTAGTGGGAAGCTTTACCTTAAACTTACCGGACTTTCGGGGCTTGTAGGTAATTTAATAAAATCCCAGCATAACCACTCCTTGTTTATTTTCCTTAACCTTATCCTGTCAACAAAGGTCTGTCTAGTCAAGGCTATGGTTTTTCCAGTGGTCATGTATGGATGTGAGAGTTGGACTATAAAGAAAGCTGAGTGCAGAAGAATTGATACTTTTGAACTGTGGTGTTGGAGAAGACTCTTGAGAGTCCTTTAGACTGCAAGGAGATCCAACTATTTCATCCTAAAAGAGATCAGTCCTGGGTGTTTATTGGAAGGACTCGTGTTGAAGCTGCAACTCCAATACTTTGGCCACCTGATGTGAAGAGCTGACTCACTTGAAAAGACCCTGATGCTGGGAAAGATTGAGGGCAGGAGGAGAAGGGGACAACAGAGGATGAGGTGGTTGGATGGCATCACCGACTCAATGGACATGGGTTTGGGTAAACTCTGGGAACTGGTGATGGACAGCGAGGCCTGGCGTGCTGTGGTTCATGGGGTTGCAAAGAGTCAGACACAACTGAATGAGCTGAACTGAACTGATCCTGTTTCAGTGAGGTTTTATTTTATGCCACTTCATTCATTAAGCCAGTTGACAAGAACTCTGTGACGTGGTTTTGACTAGGGGAGTTGACACTGGTAGTCAAAGCCCATCTGAGGAAGGACATCAATATGGAGGCAGAGGAGTTGGCAGGAAGCAATGGCAAATCCATTCAGATTAGTTCCCCTTAGTGCAAGTGTGAATACAAACTGTAGGTCATCAGAAGGGTATTCAGGATGTTTACTGTGGTTTGGATGGAACCATGACTACATGAATTTACTGAGAAGGTTGTTTTTTTTGCCTTCAATTGTAGCTCATAGTATGTAATAGAAGTCAGCAATCCCGACTGGATTAAAACGCATGCATGATTCCTTTTGCACTAATCAAAGTGACAATACAGTCAGCTCTGAAACTCCTGCATCTTGGGTAGCTGTGCCAGATTTGAATGTGACAGGGTGTCTCTTCCACTGATTAGCCTCTTCCCTGCTATTCATTGTCGTCTTATTTCAGTTCTCTTTGAAATGTACACTCCCCCTTACTGAAGCTCCTCTCCCATGCATTTTTCTGTCTATGCACCAAGCCCTTATTTTTGGTGGGCTGTGGGAGGCCTAGTCGTTTCTATTGAACAACTTCATAAGGAGCCCAGCTGTTAGCTGTCAAGGGTTTTCTCTTTTATTAGTCTCAGAAGGCAGGACTGGCAGGGTGTAGCATGTTGGTACAAGATCCCAGCTGTTGTACTGGTGCTCTCGGAGTCCCTGATCATTTGAAACTTGAAGAGAAATTTGACCTTATCATAGCAGTTGTTTCCGTGTGTTCATTTGTTTATTCTTGATAGGCTTGCAGTGCAAGAGAAAGAGATGTGGATGATAACTATAAAACATCAAGGCAAGAGGAAGGAAATTTTGTTTAGCTTTTCAAACTTTTTAGAAGTCGACATTTTTGGTATGGAATATGTAAGATACCAGAGGGAAATGTTAACTCATGTGAATGCAGGTAAATTTATCTTGGCGTACCTTTATTTGGTAAATGGGCTAAGCAGTCTTGGCAATATTTACTCATGTTTTAAAAACAGGGAGATAACAAAGCTAATTATTTCTTAGAGGCACACTCTGAAAGTTACGCAGAATTAAAAATTTTTGATGCTGTTTAATTAAAAGAAAAAAAATGCAGTAAAACCAGATTCTGCTTTAAAGGGACTTTGCTTCTTTATGCCATCTTATCTCTCTGGAGATTTTCTCCATGCCAGGATCTTTGGGGATAGTTTAATAAGCAGACCAAATTGTTGAACAATAGAATCAAATACCTGAAGTAAAGACAACATCTGCTTTTACTTTGTTGTGAAAGATTGACAGGCAAGAGCACGCATGATAGCATAGATTTTATATTGAAGAAATGTAACTTATTTAAAATGGAGAACCTTGAGAGAAATGCTTGGTTGGGACTGAGTCATTACCCAGTTAAAAATAACCTTTCCAGGTCATGTCATTTTGTTTGCCGCAGTGAAATAAGTTTATTTCAGCAGAATGAAGCCATTATTAGCTTGGCAGAGTCCACTTGTCAGAATTTTATGGAGCAGAACACCGTTTGGCTGGGAAATTCAATAAATACTGTAATGTGAGAGGAGTTAAACTCCAAAGGCTGAAGGGGCAAAGAGTGGGGGATTTGTCGCTAATTCATTGTTTTACAGCCCCAGTAAGAAAGCATTAGGATATATGATGAATTATCATTAGCGGTCAGGCACACAAACCTTTTGTGGAATACCATGACAGCAGAATGTGTGAATAAAATCAAAACCTTAAAATATGTTAAGATGTATCACACTGGTAGGTTAACATAAATATTGAAGTGTCTTGATTCTCGAGTTTTTTAATTGTTTTTTTTTTTTAAATTTTTCCATTTTTGGAAAGTAATATGTTTTCTTTACCTTCTCTCCTGAGCTGTCTGAGAATTTCTAGAGGAATAAAATATAAGTGAAAGGCCTATGATAGGATAACCCAGTCATCAGACCAGTACTGCAATATCAAAATGGAATGGAGTCATTTGTCACCTTAACAGTTTAGGAGACCAAGCCAGTGGCCACTCTCAAGCTACAGTAGACTTCACCTTGAGGCAGTGTCAGAATGATTGGTGTGGTGAGACTGAATTTCCACCTTTGTCCTTCTGTCATCCTAGGCAAATTAACTTCAGCAAGTCTTAGTGTCTTAATCTGTGAAGTGGAACTAAATAGTACTTATCTCACAGAATAGTCGCTAGGAGATAAAATGAGAGTATGTACCAAGTTTGAACACAGAATCTTGTTGTTGTTTAGTTTCTAAGTCCTCTCCTACTCTTTTGTGACCCCAGGGACTGTAGCCCACGAGGCTCCTCTGTCCATGGGATTTCCCAGGCAAGGATAGGGGAGTGGGTTGCCATTTTCTTCTCCAGGGGATCTTCCTGACCCAGGGATCGAACCCACATCTCCTGCATTGGCAGGTGGATTCTTTACCACTGAGCCCCGGCGGAAGCCATAACACAGAACCTAGCACATAGCAAAAACGGCAGCAACTGATTACTTGTAACACTAGGAAGAGTCTTTAATTTTATGGTGGAAAATTAATGTATGATTATGCTCTACTTATATCACTCTATATTCATTTCTGAATGTCACTGTACAAACGTACTTTAAAAAACATTATTACGGTCATTTTATAAGTACATTTTTGTATTCTTAACCTTTATGAGCATTTCTATTTGTTGCTGGGATTGGTAAGATTCAGTGGGCTAGAGAAAAATGGGCAAAGGTTAGAGTGGAAACTTATTTTGAGGTAAAATGTCACTGCTTACGGATTTGGAGATTATTTCTGACTCTGTAGGCTGTTGGGTTTCGTATGAAGAGGATGTATAAAGTCTTTCTGTTTTCGTGCATCCTCATCTCAGCCCTGGATCAGTTGAAGCTCCTCTTCATGTTTGTCCTTGAAAGGAGTATATCAGGCATGTCTTAGCCATGTTATTAAAAGAAATCAACAATGTTGGCGGCATACACCATATGTTTAAATAAAATGACTTACTGGAAAGTGTCTTGGACTGACCATGGGCCTGACATACTTGCTGGACATACCTGTTAGACATACAGCGTGAAGTGGAAGGTCCTTTCACCTTGTCAGAAATTATTAGGATGTTAAAGCTAAAGCGCTGAACGTCTTTGGGGAAAGGGTGCTCGGTGTAATGTGTAAGTACAGCTTGCATCATTTGCTCTGCAGCTTGACCTTCCCACATCCCCTGCACAGTCTGATTAAGATTCAGAGAGCTCTGGAATTCATTTAATTAAAGCACTGCCCTGGAGTCCATTATTGCACAATATTAGCATAGTGCTCTGTGTGACCTTTAAAAGTTTAGAAATTGGTCGCAAAATACAGAGGTTCACTATTTATTCCTTCCTGTGTAATACTTTCTCCCTGTTTTCCTGTACTAATTAGTTGTACTCTAACGTTAACAACCTGCCTTTCATTTTTGGTAAATATTTTGACATCTTCTTTTCCTCAGTTGGGGTGCAGATCTCTTGACCACCTCTCTTTCCTTTCACTTAGTAGCTTTATCTCCTAAGGCTATCATCCTTGGAACTGATAAATTTAACTCATATGGAACAGTCGCCTCACCCTGGGCTTCAGAAACCACCTCTAAGCTTTCCAGAGGAATCGCCAAAGTTGATTAAAAAGCAGCCCCTTAACCCCTGAGATTCTTTAGATAAGCGCCTCTTGACAGCTGACTGCTGGCTGCTGCAAGATATTGTAGTTTCTGCGTGATTCCTTCAGTCTGAAGGTGTGCCAAGGCAGAGCGTGGGGCTGGTCGTGTACTACAGAATCTTTTAATCAGGGCTGTAAGAAGTGATCAGGGAAATCAGAGCTCACCATCCCCCACCCTCCCATTGAATTCTTCTAGTAATTACAGTTAAACCTAAAGAGAAGATTTCTTCAGTTGAATGGCTCCTGTGGGCATTTTTCAGTGGAGCAGGTTAATTTATACTTACAATATCTGACCACGGCGGATCAATAAGTCTGTGATGTGCAGGAGTGCACGCAGGAGACACTGTAAGCAAACACAACTCAGGAATTGATATGTATCCAGCCACTTCCAAGCTTAATTTTGGCACCGTCTCCTTCCTTTTCTGGCATCTGTAAACTGGGTTTTAGGATTCTTTGTTTGTTTCTCTTTACTTATCTCAGGCTTCTTGGGAATACAGTATCTCTTGGCCTTAAAGGTCAGACAGATTATTCATGTTCATTCAAGGAGGATCATCAGGCCTTGCCCAAGATTCTAGTAGGTCTTTCTAGGGATTGGCACTGAAGTGCCCACCTCACTATGAGGTAACTGCAGGTACCTCCTGTAAAGAATAAAAGCACCCTGGATCAGCAGAAGCTTCTATGGACATTTGTCTTAGGACACCTTTGGGCACCACTTCTTCTAGTGTTGCAGAAGTTAATCCCCAGTGTCTGAGGGAGCTATCACCCAGTCCTGGGGCAGACCAGGAGGCTCCTGACAGCTTGTAAGCCTGAGTTTAGCAACAGTGTTCTCCTTCTTTGCAGTCCTTTGCAGTGCCTGGCACAGTGCACTCAGGATTGATGCTTAAGGAATATTTTTACATGTTTGTGTCTCATCTCAAAGGGAAAAGGTTGGACTTGAAACAGCCCCTGAACTTATCAAATGAGATCCTGTTGAATAGGGGTCTGATCTGGTGTGGTGGAATAATAGACTCGATTTTTTATTGAACGCTGAATATTATACTTTATAATTTTGTGTCTATAATTATGGTCTGGTGAATTTAGAGTAGTTTTATTTCCATTTATTTGGAAGATGCTATTTTAGTTTTTCCCCCAGAAGGAAGATGTTTTCCAGATACTCCTAGAACTGGAGCAGAGGCTTAAGACTGAATATATGACACTTTAACTCCCTGCCCTCACTGGGGCTTTTGATATTACATTGTGGGGTGAGAGTAAAAGAATGTTACAGTTAATAGTAACAGGTTACCTGGTTACCTACCACAGATAATCCAAACCCAAGGAAATTAAAGTGTGTATAAGTTAAATGTCATCTCTTGTCGAACTTACCCTCTGTTCAAGAAGTATCCCTAGGACAAAAAAAAAAAAAAAAAAATCATCCACATAATGTGTGAGCAGATATGCCTTCCTGGGCCCCACTGACTGCAGCCTTTACAAAACCCGGGATCTGGCTGAGTTTGTGGAATGCCAGCCTGAGGCACAGAAGCTTGTTTACTGTGCTGATTAAATGGAAAGTTTGAAATCACCAGTAGAGAGTGACATTTTGACTTGTGTATTATGTGTGTGTGGCGGGGAGGGGCTTGGTAATGGTATCTGTAGTTGTAATGATGTGTTTGACACTCCTTGATTGGTGAATGCCAGCTCTAAATTATCCCTAAATAGGGGAGGGAAATATACATTCTTTGTTGTCTCTTTTTGACCCTTCCCTCCCTCTGTCCCTCCTCCATCAGCATGCCTATCTTCCCTGAAGACCTGAGAGGTTGAAAGGGCTAAGAGATGGGTGGGAGAAGGTTGTTAGTTCCTAAAGAAAGGGTTGAAGAAGGCTTCCATTGCCTTGGTTGAAGATATAAGAGGCTTAGAAAAGAATAGAACTATACACTGTGTATTAAAAAAAAAGGCAGGATGAATTAAAGTTGCTTCACTTTGTATTTTGGTTATCGGATCATTAAGTAGTTTTTCACCATTTCTTCCTTCCTTCATTTCCTTCCTTTCTCTCTGTCTTCCCTTCCTCTTTCTTTCTTTCTCCCCTTCTTTCTTTCCCTCCCCTCCTTTTCCTCCCTCCCCTCTTCCTCTTCCTGCTTTCCTGTCCATCACCTGTTGTAAAATGTGGGTAGATTGTTTTGAGTATGGGCTAAAGGGGCTCATTTTCCTCCCCCTTAATACATTTATCTGTGATCTTGTCTTGTCCTCTTCTCCATTACTTTTTCATTTCAGAATGGATCATTTCATATAATGTTAAACAATTTGGGGTGAAGGTGTAATAAAGAATCACAGTTTTGGCTTTTTACCCTGCTCTTGAAAAGTAGTAGTTTTGTTGCTGGTGGTGGTAATAAAATAGCTTTTGCCATGAGCCAAGTACTATTGTGAATTCTTTACCTGCATTACCTGTTTTGATCCCACTGAGCAGCCCTCTGAGCCCTGTATTGTATAATCTCCACTTTTAGTGATAAAACCAAGGGTTGGAGGGGATGAGTATTGTACCCAAAGTCCCAGAGTGGTGGGTGGCACAAATTGAGACTGCCTAGGTCTATGTAGCCACTACATGCCTTGATGTAGTATTACTGATCTTCTTTCTAAGCACAGATGTTCTTTCTGTTTCCAGTGGAAAGCAGGATGAATTGTAAACTTAGGCAAACAATGGAATAAACATTTTCTAGGTATTCAGTAGTGCTTCCATTAACAAAGCCAAGTTGGTCGTTTGGGGCTGGGACATTGTAGCCCAGGATCTAGGGTAAGGGTGAGAACAGGAGACCAGTGATCCTGCAATGTGGATGCTTCTTCAGTGCTGGTTAGATTTGGGGTCAGTCATCTGTCCAGATACTGTCACTGTATTAGCCAAAGGAGAAGGGAGCATCTCACAGTCAGAGGAGACTGAGCTATGTGGACTGTGGCAGATATTGCCAGGCTGAAAATAGGAAGGAGGCTTGATGATTCAAAAGACAATAAAAAGGCAAATTATCTCAGGTTGTAAGCAGGGAATACATTTTATTACTGATTTGGCTTATCGTTGTCAAAATATTACACATTGTACATCAGCTTGGGTGATCTAGCCTGTCAAGCTAGCCTAAAATTAGAGAGTGTGTGTAAGTATATGTGTATATATGTGAATAGAAATGAAAACATGTAAACACTAAAAAGTGGAATGAAACTTTTAGAGGGAAATGCAGGGTATTAGTACATAAGACACAGTTGTTTAAAATCTGAGAGCCTATGTGGATTACTTCTTTTGAGAAATTAAATAACCCAATCAGAGTCATCACCTTTTATTTTGAAAGCTTTATTCTATAAGATGCTCTGTGGACTGATCAATACTTCAGGATGTACTCAGAGTTCTTTTTTCTGTTGTAGTTCATGTTAAGGATGTTTTTGTGATGAATTGTGGGAAGGATTTTATGTGAGATGACAGTTGAATAAAAAACAAGAGTTATATACTATCCTTGAGTCCAGTCATTAAAATTAGGTCCTGTCAGGCAATATCTTAGGTTAAATGAATGTAGGACTACATAAATCAGGAAGTGTAGTAAACAGGATTTCAGTAAAATTGAATTTATGATCATCTCTCTTTTACCTCTGATGTTTATACCACTGATGATTAGATTACAGATGCGTAAGTTATATAAGATTTCTAAGTGCTTACAAAAATCAAAGTATGGCTTGCTCACAATAGGAAACACATTCTCAGGACAGTTTTGGGTAATTTTTAAAAGCAAAAATGCCAGCTCTATTATCTTTGCTAAGTTACAGAAATTTTTTACACAGAAAACAAAATAATCTTTCTTAACACATTTAGTGAAGGAGGCTTGTCAACTATTTGCACGGTTATGTAAAAGTCTTGCTGTTAATTAATTACTGCTATTGTGCCCTGAACTCATTTTCCCTTTAATGCCTGTTTTTCCCCAGAAGGAAATATAAAGGACAAATGTGTTAATTTGTTAGCCAGCTGGCCAATGCTTCTGTTTAAATTTAATTCTAAAATGTATTAATTGAACAAGAAAACTGAAATGATTTAAAGAGTGCGTGTGTGCTTGCTAAGTTGCTTCAGTCATGTCCAACTCTTTGCGACCTTATGGACTGTAGCCCTACAGACTCCGCTGTTCCTGGGGTTCTCCAGGCAAGAATGCTGGAGTGGGTTGCCGTGCCCTCCTCCAGGGGACCTTCCAGACCCAGGGATTCAACGTGCATCTCTTATATCTCCTGCATTGGCAGGAGAGTTCTTTACCACTAGTGCCACCTTGGAAACCCCAATTTAAAGGATAGGACTTACTTAAAAAAAAAAAACACAAAAACAACTCTTCTAACATTTTAGACATCTCTTTCCCTAAATGGAGTCCCTGCCTCCCATTTCTTCTGTTGTGTGGATATCGCATATGTGATTGCTAGAATAATCTGACAGAGCATCTTGGATCATCACCATTGTTGCTGCTATTTTGTTGAATGCTTGTTGCCTGTAGTATCTCATTTAATTTCAGCAACATTCATTTTGCCCATAGCGAACTGAGT